GGAACCCGTGGAAGCCGTCGATAGCTGTTCTAGCACGAAGTCACACGTCATTGAGACCGAGAGCATTAGCATTCTGGCCTTGTTCAAATTGCTGATCACGCTAAATAAGACGCTCTTTTCCAGAAAACGTAACTAAGTTCTACTCAGCATAACTGTGGTATGAACCACAGGTGGGCTCTGTTATTGAATAAACAGAAATGCAAAAGGGAATGTCTAGCCGCCTTATTACCTCAGGTATCCTCGATTACAAGTCGTCAGCTATTCTATATATATATATATATATATATATATATATATATATATATATGGGGGGGGGGTTGATGATACACCGTGAAAAACTCTTTAAACGCCTCATTTCACCGTGATCCTGGTTGTAGGTTTATATTCAAGAATTCAGAGACTAAGGAACTCTCAATGCATCTTCTAATTAATGAATACTTCACTTTTGTCTCATCACCTACGCAGTTGTTTCGGGTATAACACACACGTAAGTACGCACACACACACTTCTATATACACAATGTGTGTGTGTGTGTGGGTGGTATGTTTGTGTTGTGATATTAAGGTTCTAAGCTATTAAAGTTATGGGTAAAAATCTTAAATATAGATAAAGAATATTAAAATATGTACCCTGAGATAAATACAGAGCAGCAACATTCTGTTTCGTCTTTTACTCAATCTTAAGGCCATGTGTGTTGGCATGAAATTTATATCTGCTGTTTAATGATGCATTATATATGGATAAATATGGCTTGATTTTATCTCATACATTCATATCTGAATACGCATCGAGCAGATATGAATGTACGATAGAAAAATATAGAGAATTGTAGTTTAAGAACAGTAATATCGACCTAGCTAACCGAAACGTTCCTCTGTGGCTAAATCGGTAAAGCACGTCTGGTTATATGATGGTTCCGTGTAGGATACAGGTTCGATTCCTGTCGGAGGACGCATATTTTCTATGAACATATCTCGGACATTCAGGCCGGTAAATGTTATTTAATACTGTTTATTATAAACATAGCATTTACTTAAATATTTGTATCTATAAAAAAGAAAGTATAAACATAAAAATGTCTTAATATATATATATGTCGATTTTTTATCAGAATAAAAGATACATTTATTCTTTATAGCATGCATATTTTTATTGACTAGCAAATATAATACAGTGATAAATTCCCTATTTATTTTTATGTTATTAGAAGAAGAAAGAGTTGACAAATTACAATGACAAGCATAAGATTCATTATATTTATTTAGTGGCAGTGCCAGCTTTTGTCATGAAAGTGTTTACTCTATTGACAACAATATTGAGAGTGCATTTTTGGATTGTAATCGCATTTTCCAATACTCCAGTTACGCCTTGCATTTTTAACACTATTTATTTCTCTTATTCCTCTACATAAGGAAGTGGGATATTTTTCATGTGGTTAGATTTGGACGACTGCACGTCACTCCTCAAGTGTTGATCTCTGTTGATCTGTTCATCTGAGTTCTTTCCAGTGAAATTTATTTTCGTTTTATTTTACATAGATTTTCTAAACAAGTTTAAGTTTATATTTTTCTGCCGATAAAAATGCTATTTTTTTCTGCTATTTTTTCTCTGTCGTTCTAACCTGAAAATTTCAGGAAAGGTTTTTTTTTGTTTCTTTCTTTGAGGTTGGTTTCCTTCTTTCATTGCAATCATTATCTTTTTGTGTGCAATTAAAGTAACCTTTTTCAATGTTAGTTTGGAAATTATGCTATATTTTTTAAAAGTATTGTATGTTTTCTTTTCCATGCATTATTAATCGTTTTATTTTAAATCTTCTCCATGAATCTTTATTTCTGTCGTTTCATTTTTAACGTTTACGCTATTAGCGTTTCAACGCTAATTCTTCTTAGCTTAATTTCAGTTTCCCTTTGTATTTTCCTTATCTGAGGTTCTAAGATTTACATTGGCCTTTTTTTCTGTGTTTATCTTTGTTTTAATTATTCTTCAATGTTTCATTTTTTATTCATTATATTTCTTTCTTTTTATATTAAATTCATTAATTTTTTTCTCCTTTGATTTTATGATTTTCGCTCCTCATTTCATCTTAAAAATTCTTTCTTTCTTTTCATTTTAGGATATTATTTGTAAAGTTTTTCTGTAAATATATATTTTTTACGTTTTCTACCTGTAATTATTTATCTTCGCATTTTTTCCTTCTTTATTGTTCTTCTCCTTTTCTTCATTCTTTTCCTTTTTCGTTTGTGCCTTTCGCTTTAATTCTTTCCATCATACTTTTTTATCTTTCTGCATTTAATTTTGTTGTCATTTTTGCACATTTTGCTTATATCTATCTTTCATTCTTTTTACGTTTGTTCGTTTCTATTTTCTTCCGTTCTTTCTTTCTTTATCAATTTATTTATTTATCCAAATTTAATGAGAATGAAATATAAATTCAAACGTTCATAATTTTAATCTAAAAGAAGACTCAATACCAAAAGTAGTGCAATAGTTATTTATTTTATGTTGTTACATTCAAACAAGTAATCACTACAAAGATGCATATTGATATACATATTAATAGATATTTTTGTAGTGATTACATGTTTGTTTCTGTGTAACAACTTAAAATAAATATTTATTTATGTATATATTCATTAATTTTTACCTTTATATTTGTCTATTTTTGTCTGTTTTAATTTTCTCTTCTTTCTTTATTTTTACTCTTTTTAGGCTTGCCTCTGCCTTCTATGTTGTCATTATATTACCTTTATTCTTTCATTATTTCTTTCAGCCTCGGTTTCAGTGTATATTTCTTTCATTTTCTCTTTATAGTTTTTTTTTACTATCGTATTCCTATTGTAGTATTTTTTACCTGCTATTATTCATTATTTTCTTTGAAGTTTTTTTCACATTTCTGGTTTATTTCTGTATACATTTTCTATTCTTTCACTCATTTTACATGTATCTTGCTTTAAGCTTTCTATTTCTCTGCCTGTTTCCTTATAGTCTTCCATTAAATCTTTTCGTTCTTTGACAGGCATTCACTTATCCTGCGTTTTCCATTTCTTGCGTTTTTCTTAATGGTTTCTTTTCATTTCTCTGTGTATTGATGCATACGTTCATATTAATACTTTCAATCACAACAATTTATTTCGATTGATTCTATTAGCTTTCTAGTCTTCCTAATGGAGCATTCAGCAAGTCAATAAACATAAAAATAAACACCTAATAAATTCAGGTTAAGAATAATCAAGAGTTGTCTCCCCTTGTTTCGTTACACGCCTTTTTTAGAGAGTTATTTCTGTTTACTGGGACTACAAAAATGACACTATACGTGAACCTTTAATTCTCAGTTGAATAAAGTTTTCTTAACGCCTACACCTGTGTACTTTTGTCATTGCAATTCTCTTTGCAATTATAAAGAGATCCAGCCAACCAAATATTGCTGGGAAGGAAATGTAGTACTTAATAAAAGTTCATCAATAAATCATATGAACGAATCACTTAAATGTAAGAATATATAAAATATAATAATTTTTTCTTGATTTATAAAATTAAGAAGAGTTCAGAAACAATTTCGTACAGATTGAATAAATTCTTTATGAAAAAGGAACCATGAATTGTATCAAAATTGGAAACTTTAGTAGCAATAATAACTGGAGCAGAAAATGGAGCCAACATGCCCTGTTCAGTTTTCTTCTTTCCTAAGTATTACGTTTTGAAATCAATGTTGAATTTATCATGATTTCAGCCACAGTGATTACACCTGGTTATATCGCTCAATCGTCTTTCCATATATCAGATACAAACTGCCCTCATTCATTATCCTTCTTCTTATATATTCTCCTGAAATATATCAAACGAAGACGAATAGGCTCAAAATTATTTCTTATCTTAACTGAGCAAAATTTGATGTACTCATTAAAGAGACGCTTCTAATAAAAGTAAAACACCAAAGAATCTTTTTTTTTTCGATTTAGCAATTCGGGCAAAGATATTTCAGGGACAATGGTCCACATGAGTATTGAGTTCAAAGCAATGATTTTTGCAGTTTATTTTAAATGCAGTGATCATTTTCATACACGAAGCAATTTATCAAATTTTGTAGAAGTAAAACGAATAAAGAATACATCTATAAATAATGCGACTTCTGGTTTCTTCGTAGGTCAGTAGTATATCGTATCTAACAAAGCTTCACTCTGCCCAGGAAACCTCTGACGCAGATTTGAATCGTATCAAGCATCTTTTTCATCTAAATTCTGATTAACAGAGCACATAGCAGGATTAGATCTAAAACAGGACAAGAATATCTGGATTTCGTTAAAGGATTGCGATATTTCTGATCAGAATGATATAAAAAAGGGAGATAGAAAGGCGATAGAATGTATTACCTTTTTTTATGGATTTTGCAGAAACATTTGTTAATATGCTTCAAAAGAACTGTTTGAACACCAAGGTAAGTATGATTTATTTGGCGAAACGTATTCGAATAATTCAAAATTATACTATAAGCAGACCGCCTGCATACAGATAAAGAAATGAAAATTCAACAAAAACACAAAAAATAGAAAGTGCAAGAAAAGGATGCGTCTTTTCAGTGAAACTCTTCAAACTTTTGAGTGACGCGTTCCTGAGAGAATTTGATTAGTTACTGGCGGATGGTAAGTGTGGAACTGAAATCCGAAGGCGCATTGGGATCCCCAATTATGCCTTCAAAAAAGCTAAGCAAAATGCTAAGAAATAGAACAAAATTGCAAGAAGCAAGGAACAGAGCATTAAACTATTAGATGTAATCTATCCCACTGCACATGTGAGAAAGGATAAAATTTTAGAGAAAATGGACACAAAAGAAAATTTTTATTTGACATCAGGAAGAGACAGTTGAGGTTACTGGGGCTCATAATGAGGAAGGTGGGCTTGGACAACCTGATACTCACAGGGCAGATCGAAGAGAGAGAGAGAGAGAGAGAGAGAGAGAGAGAGAGAGAGAGGGGGAAACAACGGATGGCATACTTAGTGACTGAGTAAATGGATGGCGAAACAGGGCTTAAGAGAAATAACAGATCAAATTTCTTAAGAGCTACATGGCACAGGAAGGTGTAGAGAGCCATGAAGTAAGAATGTTTTCTTTAAGTCTAAACTACCTTCGGATTACTACTGTGTCTAAAATAAATAGGTCATTTTCTCTCACATTTTCTCTTTCTCTCTCCTCTTTTTTCTCCTTTGATCACCCCTCATATCCAGTCTTACACTACTATTTTTTGTAATTGTTTTCTTCCTTAATTTTCTTTTCCTTTCTTCTCTCTTTTCGTTTTTCTGTTTTTCTTTCTTCATGTCTTTCTTTGTTTCTTTCTTTTTCTGAACATTTCTATTTTAACAATTTAAATTTCTTGACTGCTTTAAAAATACTTTTAAATTATTTCAATTTACAAGCTGATACTGATCATCAGCTATATGTTGTCTCAATTCATATTTTATCAAATATGAAGCTCTGTTTTGTTAAAAAGTTGAGCTCTATGTGTGAATTAGTTTTAATATTTTATATATTGTATTAATAGGATTCCCTTGGATTATATAATAACGATTTATTCCATATATATATATATATATATATATATATATATATATATATATATATATATATATATGAACAGAGGTAACCAGCGTTTACCGGGTGTATATGGGTGCAATTGTACAATCTCACCCCTGTATACCTACACCCCTCTGTCTAGAAATGTCTGCCTGCGACCCCGCTTGTATGCATCATCCGTTCGTATACTAAGCTACCCCCCTTATCTTTTTTACGGTATGTCCTCCGCAAGTATTTGGTCGTAATAAATTAATGTCATCTATAAAACCTTCTTGTGGGGCCGTTGCTCGGGGTTAAATTGTTTCAATCTTTTAGATATTAAAAGTATATAAATAGTAAGTTTCTTATAGCCGTAATAAATTTCAAATAGTATGATAGTGTTCAGAAATCTAATAATCAAACAAAAACAGGGATGAAACTTGATTCAACTACAAGTACAAAAAGCATGAACGTCCCCTCCTTCGCACGTTTACTGTAAAGCTAGGGTTAATAAAGGATTCTTCGAGAAGTTTCCACTTTTTAACGCTTCAATAATCCTTCTCAAACAAAGATGGTTCGAATGCCAATCTAGGATGGAATCATAGGAAGAAACTATTGGCTAAATGGCAATAGCCGATTTTGGACCTAGTTTGTCGCAGACGTCGTCTACTGAACTGAAATAATCTAAACCAAGCATTCACCCAAGACAATTTTTGTATCATATGCAATTTAGGTGACAAATTTGGAAAGCCTCGGTGAAAACCAGGGAGTTATGGCCAGAAGACGGGGTTTTTGTGCACTTTTTCGTTGTTTTTCGTTAGATGCGGAGAAGCGAACAGGACTGAAAGCACACTTATTTCTTGCAAGATGGCAAATTATTTGCGTAATGTTTGAAGAAAATCGAATAAAAAATGCGGAAGATTTTATTTTAAGTAATAGAAAAAAAACGATTTTTCAGGGTTTTTTTTTTCAATTTTTTTTTTTTTTTTGTGAAGCCAATGTCGCAGGAAAATTCTGAAGCATTCTACATTAACCTTATAACATGACTTACGTTTTGCATTAAGTGCAAAGAACATCTGCTCATCCAGGAAAAAAAAATGGTTCGCGTGTAACTCTGCTTTGGTTTTTGCAAAATGTCATACTCACCTTCAGTTTTATCGATTTTCCCGCCAAACCCGGGGGTGGGGGATGGAGACTGTAAAGGTGGTCTTGATCTATTTGGTAAATTTGCAACATGTATGTACAATTACATCGAAATCGGTCGAGAAATGTGGATATGCATAAATAACCTATACACAGATAGACACACACAGATGCACACACAAACAGACACACAGACAGACACGCACATATTCTCTTTTATAGATATATAGGCAGGTTGAATCAAAAATAATTTAAAAAAATCTGTGGCTGATTCCTCACACCAAAACAAGGACAAAAGTCCTTATAAACAAAGTCCGTTCATTCTTCCTTTTTCAGTTTAACAAAGTTAAGGTAGATGCTGTTAAATGTACAATCCATGATACAAATATGATTTACAAATTCTGAGGTGGCTTTCTGACACCAAAACAAGTTAAAATGGTCATATAAACATATGTTCAAACAGCCATCACTTCACCACAACGCGGGAACTTATAGCAACATATCCTTCGCTTGCTTCTACATATACATCAACCCGGCAGATCATTGACTGCTGAATACTTTCAAATACTCCTATACGGTGTCAAATAGTTTCGCAAACCACCATGACACGTTGGTGAAGTGCCTCTGCATTATTAATATATGTTGCATATATCAATTGTTTCAGATGACCCCACAAATAAAAATCCATAGTATTCATGCCGAGGGCATGCGCAGCCCATGATACTTGTCCTCCTTACCTATCCAACTTTCAAGCTACATGACAGATATCGCGAAAAATGTGACTAAATATGCTGCAACCCCATCATGCATCAAGAACACCAGTTTCCGTATGAGAAGGTCTACATTCCTCTAGCAGGTCTGGAAGTGTGTTAGCAATAAAGTTCCTCTATGACGCGTTACCAGACAGTCTCCTACAATTCCAGTTCACATAAAAATCATAAACTGATGCTGATGCCTGGCCTGCATTGTATCATGGCGATTCCGATCCTCGCGCAAATGTTGGTTGTGTAAATTTGTTATTCCATCTCTTCCAAATAATGCCTCATCCGTAAACAAGACTGAAGAGACAAACAGTGGATTGGCAAGTTGCAATTGATACGGATACAGGAGCTGTTCTTGAAGTACCTTCCATGCGTTACTATGAGATATTCGACATGCTATGGCCGCTAGACGTAGGCCGATAGCTGAAACGTCACCGACAGCTTGCAGAATGTGTTCTTCGTGGTCAGGAATACAAGCGCAACTCGGTCTTTCTCGATCCATAGAGTGTGGTGCCACGGATCCAGTCTTAAAAAAGCGAAAAAAAAAATAACAGAAAAGGGTGTATGATTCGGATGCCTTTAATCTGAAACGTAAACCGATAGAACCGTGCAGCCTCGCGTCCATTACCATTCGCGCGACCGATATGATTATCTTGCCATTTTTAAACAAAACACTTCTCAGTTAACTCTACACTAGTCAAATGTGCACGAAGGACAAATGTAACCTAGTCTACATGGCAACACATCACTATGAACCATACAAAATTTTAAAATTTAATAACTCGAAAATGAAGACATATTTTTACATGGACTTTTGTCCTTTTTTTTCCTGTGAGTAAGCCTCCACAAAGTTGGTAAAATTATTTTTGATAAACGTTAATTCAAAGCTATGGCTATTCTGCTATTTATTAATTTTTGGTTTCCAGTAATGGAAGCAACATTCATACTCTGGCTCCCATCTTCAAAGATTATTCAAGAACAATTAAGAGAACGGTGAATAAGTGTAAAAAGGAGGGAACCGTAGAGAAAAAAAAACTGGATCAGGACGTCACAACAGGAACAGGGATCATCATATCGACTTAGAGCTAAACAGATTAATTATAAAAGATCCAGCTTAATCCATAAAACATTTGGCACGTGAGAGATGAGTTTAAAATATGATATCTTACGTGAAAATTGTGAGACAGAAAGTTAGCTTATCGATGGCGAAGATCATCTTGAATAAGTTAGAAACTGATCCTGGAATAATCACGGTTTTTCTGTTAAACTTGGAGAGTAATTATACATTCTTATTGCTCAAAGTAGAGTTCAATGCGGAGATATCCAGTAAGATATCTTTAATCATTTCTAAGATACAACTATTGAAAGCTAAATCTATCAAATAGACAATTGTGATTTTACCCGATTTGGAAAATTTGGTTGTTACACCCGGTGTGTATATATATATATATATATATATATATATATATATATATATATATATATATATATATATATATATATATATATATATATGTGGTGGGGAGGACACAGAGGCCAAAACGAACGATCGTCACGCAGTCTTGAGTTCAGTTACATTTACAATTTCTGGGCAATTTTTATCGCAGTATATCATATTTAAAGCTATATTTTTGTATCACAACACACACACACACACACACACACACACACACACACACACACATATATATATATATATATATATATATATATATATATATATATATATATATATATGCTCAAAGCGTATCCAAATGTAAATAAATGACATCGCACATGATGAAATGGACATATTCCAACAATTATTTTAAGACATTTTTTTATGTTTATACATTCTTTTTATACATACAAATATTGAAGTAAATGCTCTGTTTATTATAAACAGTATTAAACAACGTTTACCGGCCTGAAAGTCCGAGTAATGTGATGGAATTTATATTTATTAATCAAATATATTTTTTATTACTTAACCCTTATTTTAAGTGAATTCTGGTATTTTTGTAGACCTTCGGATTATTTATTAAACAGTATATTTATTTTCGCCTAGATTCGGAAATCTGTGTTTAAAATCACTATTCATCATTGCTTGTCTGTTGATGCACTCTTTAACCGAGAGATCAAAGCATGTCAGGTCTTGTCATGGTGTCGGTTTCCACAAGATACGAAACCTGCTAGAGAGCTCATATTTTTCTCTAATAAGATTTCTCGTTATATACAGGCCGGTAGGCGAAATTAAATAAATGTGCTGTTTATTAAATACAAGTATCCACTAAAAAATAACGTTTAAGTATATATATATATATATATATATATATATATATATATATATATATATATATGTGTGTGTGTGTGTGTGTGTGTGTGTGCGCGTGTGTGTGTGTGTGTGTATGTATCTGTCTCTGTAATCGAATGATAAAATAGCAAGTGCAACCTTATGTGTTTCATCTGTAACAAGGACATTTCAGAATAACAATATTTTTACTTTGTAATTGCTACTTAAGTCAATACATAGACATAATTTAAATAAAAATTATTTAATCGTCATTA